TGTCAGGCCTGCCTGCATAGCAGAAAACAAACCACGCCAGGCCCCAAGCCTGCAGGTGAGCACTTAATGAACTCTTGAGTTTGTCTGCTAATTGTCGATGTCCGTCACACATCATATGTATTGAGGAAAGGGGAGAGGAGGGCCTGGGCAGCATCCTGTCCCCTCCTTCCAGAAGGAGCAAGCCCTTCAGTACAGAACGGAGCACATGAACATGCTTCCTAACAACTGCTGTAGAAAACACTTTAATGCAGCAAACACTAGAGACCATAAAAGCAAAATAGTCCCTCTTCATGTGTTTTACTTAAGCCCCTATTAGATTCTTTTGTGCCTGAGAGTAGGAAGGCTTGGAGTGGGAATTTGTTGATGGTTTGCCACAACTGAACACAAACTCAACAGAAAAAAACACAACTGTTTTTTTAAAAAACTCGGTGTGATGAGAGGCCTGTGAAGAAACCAGTCTTCATGATGGGGATTTAATTATTCTAGTACTGACAAAAATGAGAATTGAAGGAGGAATCAACCTGCTGACTTCCACAGGCAGTAAAAGACAGGTTTATCTTTCACTGTTTATTGTGCTCTTAGATATAAAAAATTCAATAATGGTCTGGTGGGTGTTCAGTAATTTATGATCATACACCATTGGTCTTAAAGTAATCATGGTCTTAGGCTATGAAGGTAACAAATAAGACGTCAGACAGCATCATGTTGCTAAGTTCAAATATTCCCAGAAAGATGGTGGGAGAGGAGGGGGGAGAAAAGGAAAAAGCGATATTTAAAGCAGAGTAAATAATGCAATCATGTTGATTCCAGTAGTAGCAAACAGTTAAAAGTGATGATGGAAATTACTGGAGTAAAACAACAACATATCTAATATAGACAGAAAGCAATTACAAAAGGTATAATAGAAAATTGAAAGGACAAGCTAGCTGATGTAAAAAGCTCACAAAAGCTCTGTAAAACATTCAAGGGGAAAAAGTTGCACTTGCTAATAATAATCCATGAAGGCTCAGGGAATGCTAATTAGCGTAGAGCTGCTCTTCATTTGTACAAGGACGTATGGGCCTGTTCCAGGTTTAAATAAATGACTGAATGACAGAGACTAAACTCATTGGTGTTCTTTCAAAAGTAAAAAAAAAATACAGGGTTCTGGCATCAGTCGATAACACACCAGAAATAGATTTACTCAATTTTCAGAGACTTTCAGAGATTTTCTAAAGCCACCAATCTATTTGCAAGGAAAACATGATTTACCACACATAACGTGAACCTACCACCAATGCTGTTGTGCTCAGCTCAGGAAATTTGCTACCTTTCAGGCCTTTTCTACACCACTCATTTTATTGCATCTACCTTTGCAAGAAGCCCAATTTAAATTACTTCCAGACTGGAAAAAGTGGAAATACAGATACCCTACAAAGCAGAGAATACAGAATAGGAAGAAAATTAGACACCAGTCATCTCAGAGTTCAATTCCACATTCAGCCTTAGCTTTCCTGGAGAAGTCAGTTACTTAAATGTCTAGTAGGATTTTCAAAGCCATATTGCCTTCAAATGTTTCCTCAGCACAGGGCTGAGAAGGGTACTCCTTAAAAATGCTAATTCTACGGTTGCACTTTCAATATCTGAAAAACAAAATTCACACAAGGAAGAACAGCAGCAGGAATCAAGTTGCAGTCTCAGATGGGTGATGCTGAAGGCCCACAGCGTTGCCTAGTACAGACAAATTTGCTGATAGAAAGCGAAATACCTAAGGATAACACCATAGTATTGAGCTGCCGTGTCAGAGAATGGCATGCTTGCTGTCAGCCTTGACTGAATTAATTTTATTTCCTTTCTTTCTTTGGTGAGTTAGAGCAAGGATCATAGCTAGTCTGCTGTGTAAAAACTGACCTGGCAGGAGGTGGGGAGCCTTGGTCACTATATCAGCACATAAAGCAGTAACATTCATTTTAGAGGTTTCCTCCTGAAATCCCATCCTCTGTAGGCAGGGAAGCACTGAGCTGGCCTGTTGGGCATTTCACCACCTGGTCAGCCCCAGAGACATCTACAGTCTCACACTACATTATCATTTTTCCCCTACATGTTCTTAAGAAAAACAAATGAACACTTAGCCCCAAGAATCTGATTCATATAACTATGCATCTTACATTAAATAGTGCAGCTCAGCAAATACTGAGATTTAGATTTAAAAAATAAACTCAACCAAGACTATCAACTATGAAGAAATCTGCACTTCTCCATCCTTGCTGAGAATGCTCATTTCTGTTTTAAGTATTTGTCTTCTTGCTTTTAAACACATTTGGTTTTTAAATTGCTGTATCTTTATTTAACAACATTGCTGCTTATGCATCAAACACACTTGTTCTTGGGATGCGACAGCCATCTAATAAAGATGATGCTTTAGAAACTAAGTAAAATTCAATATTAATGATCCATTTCATTCTTAAACAACGGAATTCTGTGCATGACTGGTGAGCCAACCAAATATATGTAATGTTCATTGTTGCTTTTGATAGAAAAATCAAGTAATATGCAATGCTATGTTTATCTGGAGGGCCTTACTCTCAATTCCAACAGAATTCAGACACTTGCCCATATTTAGCTCCAAGCAAATGAATTAATCATTCTTTCACTATTGTGCCTGCAAAAAAGAATAGTAAACACTGAGTAAACCTTGAAAGTTTTCTAGTAAGAGTCAACGTCTAAATGTTAGTCCCATTCTGCATTTGTTCTCTGTATTAACACAAATTAAAGATGCAACAAGCAGCTTTAACTGACATTTTCAATAGGAAATAGTAAAAAGGACAGTCCAATTGGTATGGAAGTCTTGGTTTTAAGAGCACAAAATCAATTGCAAACCTTATATATGCAGAGCAAATGATACCTAAATATTCAACTTGGAAGAGTACAGAAGGTAATCCTAAACTGAATCCACCATTTCCGTACTGAAAAGCACCGTTAACGCAGTCACGCTGTGTAGAGATCCCCTAGAGCAACATGCTCTGTTATACAAACAAGGCAGAGCCATCACCACCCAGGTCTGTGGGTGAAGGGCTGTCAAGACTGCAGAGGTTCTAGGTACCACCGCTGAACCCGGGCTGAGCAGCTGGAAGCAGGAGTTTGCCCACGCAGGTCACCATGTTAATACAAATCTTCCCTCCCAGTGCCCCAGACTGTTCCTGGCTCACGTGCACTGTCCTCACTTTATGCATGTGGCTCGGGGGATTTCAGAGACCGCATTGCTGATTCTTCTGCTCGGGTCTGTGTATCTGATTATTGGTTTCTAAACATAATTGGAGATACTGATTTCTTGACATTTAGTTCTGCTTTAGAAAATTATCTCATGCGTTAGTTTTCCCCATGTTCTCAAAAGAGCACCAGGACTTCTCTGCCAAATGGGAAACTGCAAGCTATAGGAATAAACACTTCAAAAGCAGAATAAACATCAAAACACGGGGCTGGAAGCAAGTAGGCCACCAGTGTGCTGCAGAAGGCGAAGAACAGAAAATGTTGAGACAAAACGTTGGGCAAATCTTAGGTTTAGAAGCAAGCATTAAATTAGCAAGCATTAACACTTTTTTAAATTTTTATTTTTATTAACAGCATTTCCAATGTTTAAGGTAATCATCAGCAAGTCCCACAATTCAGAGGTCAGAATATCTGGTACTCTATTGAAGGCACATGGAGATGTGCATTTCTTCCCATACATTCCCCCAAAGTAGTAATACCTTTCTCAACATTCACCAGTTTAAAATAAAGATGTACTGAAAACGTACAATTTATTGTAAGTCTTACAACACTGTGTTTTTTCCCCATATATTTCATCACAGCAATATAGAATTCAAGGTCATTAAGTAGAAAGTGTGACAGTTTATTAGAGCTTCATTTCAAATTCTATACATACATGCTTTTTCAACATTCTTCATTTTTATTATGATCTTGATAGAATTTCCCTCAGAGAGATTACAATGATCACAGAACGAAGTTTTAATTATTTAGGTCCAAACTAATGCAAAATACCAACAAAACCAGCATAAAATTTAGCATCCAAATTTCTAAGAATGGTAGGGTTTGTAAGCTTAAATATTTAAATGTAAAGCGACTTTATTTCAAGTACTGTAAGAGAGAAACATTGCCACTTACTGGCAGTACCAATGTCTTTGCAATATTTGTAGGCATTTATGTGCATCTTTCAAAAGCTCTATTAACCTTTATACTATTTGTCAATAAAAAGCCCCATTAACATTTAAACCGTGGATGTCCAACTGTCTACTTCAAACAAGAATCAAAAGATAGCCTGTAAGAAACAGTTATTTACTACAGGCTACATTATTGGGATTGTACATGCTGGAGATTTTGAAAAGCTCACATTTCCTGAAGTAGAAGAAAAAAAAAAAGGTAAAAAAAAAAAAAATCATTCATCAATTGGCAAAAAGGCTGCATATGGCCTGAGCAGGAGATGTGGCAGCGACACAGGTGGACGGGCATCACCAACAACACAGTACAGCTTTGGAAGCAATAGTACAACCAGCAGGAGCCACTTCAGGAATACTGGAGGGCTAAAGAGATTGCACTACATATGACACGGAAATTCAACACTGCTTTTGCAGTAGGATCATCAGAACTTACCTGACATTAACAATCTGTCTTCATTGGGCAAGAACTTGATTTTAATCAAAGATAACATAATCATTGGATAAGAACTGAAATCACAGCTGTGCAGATGACAGACTCTTCAATCAAGCTGCTGAACTGGAAGTGCCAAAGACATAATTCACCAGTTCATGTATGTCCCCCAAAACTTTGTTTCAAGCACCACTGATTTAGTAAAATCCTTATGTGCTGCTTCTGTAAAGTGGCTATTTAAAAAGGTAAGGGAAAATGATCACAAAATCTAGAGACTGAAGTCAAGCAGTCTATTACCACTGCTTTTACAAATCATTAATGAAGACAGCATGACCTGCTCCACTGAAGAGGGGGGAAAAAAAAATCATTAATCATCTTCAAGTATGGGAGATGCACTCACAGTGACAACAGAGGCATTCATTTCATTACTTTACAACAAGGAAATCTATAGACTCCATAGAAAATTTACAACCAAAATGGAGCTAGTGTGACAAATGGCACTCATGTAGCAACAATGAAAATGTAAAGTCAGCAAATTCAACAAAAATGTATCTTAGTGGCTTTGCTTCCTCAGGCTCCAGTTTGATGGAGCGCCACTTCATGCAATCATTCCTTTCCTCTCACGTCCGTCTTGTCTTCTGTTTTTTCGTTTGCCTCTTTGCATCCTCTGAACCACCTGTGTCAGAACCTGTCTGTCCAAGAGCACGTACTCCTTGCAGTCGAGTTGTCAGCTGTAGCAACAAGGGAATGAGCTGGGGAGAAAAAAAAAAAAAGGGAAGCAGCCTGTGGTTACAGTGGTATGTAAGGTCTGAATGGCAACGTTCTTTAGACCCATTCATCTCACAACAAACAGCATTTATTGCGTAAATGGCACATCTACAAAGATATCAGAAAATGGCAGCAAATCTTGGGAACGAATCAGGCCAAACTCCTGGGAATTTCTGATAATCAAAAACTAAAATGATTGTCAGTTAACTTTTTTCCCTGCAGTCATCTATCCAAGAACAGCAGTTTGAGTCTCAAGTCTAGAAAATGACCGCTATTTTCAGTGGAGGCACTTTCAGTGACATTGTAGAAAATCCTGGAGAATCCCATGTTCAGCGCTGTCTTACCCATGTTTGAGAGGAAATCAACTTGCACAGACAAATTTATCTTCTCTTATCAGCAAAACAACAAATCCAGTCATATCAGAGAAGACTAGAAAAGCATGGCTTGCTAAGAAAGACAGAGGAAGTTATACAGGTTTTTTTTCCCAAAGCCATCAAATGAGAAGACAAAATTCAGAAGCGGCACAGGAACTCACCTTCACCTCAAGTTTTTAAAAAGGAAGATAATAGTCAAAAAGCTTGGCTACATTGTGGCTTTTCTTAAAATGTGTCACATAAGGTGACTGCTGACTGCATCACTCTCTGGATAACCACCTCAACAAACCCTCACTCAGCACAGTACAAAGCATTCATCGAAAGGACAGTAATATTTGGTTAAGACAAAAAACCCCATGACCTACCTTATCATGGTTGTAACCAGCCAACAACAGAAGCAGCGTCAGTGGTAACGCGATGTAAGATCCTTGGGCGATATCTTGTTCAGGCAGCTTTCTCTGAAAACAGTGGGGACCATGGATTTTTTTTAAAGTCATTTTGACTATGAAACCCCTCAGCTTTAAGCAATGTCAGCAATAGGATCATGTGGTACATCCAGCCCTTCCCACGTAATTCCTTCTCAGTGCTCCTCAAAGATTTACTATACCATCAACTTCAAAGCAGTCCCCTTGATCAAATTCATTCACTTGTTACCTTTTCCTGGGATTTGCTGTTTTTTAAAGTTAATTCACTGATGGTCAGTCTCCACTTTACAGTCAAACTGGTGTGCTTTAATTTACCTGTCACATGCTGCCCAAACCTCTATGATCCCAATGATGAAACTACAGCAACCATATTAGCACAAAATCTTTCAGGCACATCTTTCATTTATAACTGCCATTTCATGTTTCCCTCATGTTTCACTGGCATCTGAACATGCAGTGATGCAGAAAAGAAATAGATAATTAAAATATTACAGCATGAGCACTTCGATAAATTGACTGCACCGTTCAGAAGTGCAAAAAGACACTTCTCTCTCTCAAGGGAGTTTTCCCCTAATGTTAGTTTGACAACTCCTCTGCTTTAGCCTCTACCTCAGCTCCAGTAACTAAAGCTCTCTTTTTGGCCTGGTGATACTTATTTCATACACACAGAAGTCTGTAAAGGAATTCTGACAACAATCCTATCTTTCTCCCTCAGCCCCATTACTGCAACCTTTCAGTTAGTGTCATGGCTACAACTTCATCCTGAACTCCTTACCTGCTCCTGTAACACACCAGGTTATTACACCCCTGTTTGATGCCTTAAATGTGGCCAAATCCAAATTCATTGTCACTTTAATGCCTCTCAATAAACGTCTTTATATTTACTTAATAGAAAGTTTGGCCGAGATCACAAAATACATGCAGGCTATACTACCAGACATTGCTCTCAAGGTGAGCACTTGAACATTTATGTATTTTGTACTTACAGTGGGACTGAAGATCAGCGTAATGTGTTTATGATATCCAATAGCAGTGAACGAAACTTGAGGCAGGGTGTAGTCATACTGTGATTTAGACAATGTAGAATCCAGAAGCACCACATAATTCTGTGGGTGAAAAATACACTTAGCCTACAGCATCAGTAGCAGTCTGAGACAAAAATCAGATTTAAAGGCAAAAGTCAGTTTCACAGGCTTCAAATCTTCTGAGACACTGGTTGCTCCAGCATGAATACAGCACTGCAGGCACACCAGGAATAACACTTCAGTGTCCTTAGGGAAAAAAATTTAAGTGACCTAAGCTAATTATTCAGCAATATTCTTACCTCTCCATCTCGGAGTAGCGGTGGGAAATGGAAAAATAGGGATAGGCCTAAGTTGACTGTATGAATTGGGTTGTCAAGATTTTCACTTTTGTAGAGCTTCACCTGTGAGGGCAAGAAGAAAGCACAAACCAGGTATTTCTGAGCCTTCACCACAACAAGTATTTCAGACATCCCACATCTTAAGGAATAAAAGCACTTCAAAATTCATCATGTGTTTTATAAACGGGAAGTTGTTAACTAAAAACACCTGGAATTGTTCTAATCTGGGATGTGGAAAGTCACAGAAACAGTCTTTTTACAAAGCTTGAAATAATTTAGGCACAACTGATATCTAACTGATATCTAACATTTTCACATATCTAGTGTATTAAAAGTAGTCTGTGATATGCATCAACCAGAACTGAGTAAATCTTTTAAATAATCCCAGCAGTTTCACAGGAATTTGCAGCTGGGTGTTGTTTCTATTTCTCCAATAGGCTCATTTTGCTTGATTTCAGTTTCTCTACACTTACTTAAGAAGCTAGACACCCTCAAGCTACAGAACAGCCCTGAAGTCCTCAGCAAATACAGTTTGCTCAGAAGCCAGCATAATTAAAAGAGGGTTGTATCATAATCGAATAAAGCTGGAAGGGGCAGCTGCACCTCCTCACATGAGGCTGCCTGTACACACAAACATTTATCAGCCACCGCACCTCCTCCAGAGGACACAGTAAGCAAACTGATGCTGTTTGTGGACAGCTGTGGACAGCTGCTCTGAAGCAGCCTCCTAGCATCGGTACCATTTTTTGTAAATCACTGGATCAGATATTTGCCAAGACTCGGCTCTCCTTGCAGACACTGCCCAACTAAATTCTCATTGATTCTGCCGAGTGCTACCATGGTTGCAGCTCCAACCACAGCTCACCAGAGCATTTCCGGTTGTTTCATCCAGCCCATGCAACCAGAAGCGAACAGACTGAGGTCACAAAACTGCTTGCTTGTGTCTGTATCAAATCGTAGCACATCTTTCAAAGACAAAACTTTCTGCCTTGAAAGCAAGTGTGATGGATATGCACCCATCAACAGCACATCACGTTACATGCAATGCAAGACCCAACCTCATACGAAACAGGTACAGGCTTGGATAACTTCCATACAATTAAATTTTTACATCAATTCCTGTTTGCTTAAGCTGAACTGCAAGGGCTTAAATTTCTCCAGAAAGATAGGAAGCTTGCTCAGTGCTCTTCAGTAAGGTGATACATTTTCCCTTCCTGCTCTGAGTGTTGGATCCTTTGGGTGTCTCCCAAAAAAACCCAACAACTTAGCAATGAGATCTTGGCAGGTGAGATGCATAACAGACTAGTCTGAAAGAAATCCAGGCACTGCATTTATATTTATAGGTAACATTTCAAGAAGCTTTTAAACCTGAGAAAGGTACTGTAACTCCCACCACACTAACACCTCTCGCAGATACTTCCAGCATTTGCACTCTAAGCCAAAAGGATCACAGGTGTTTAGCAAGTGTTTTTCAAATCACAATGAATTTTGAAAATTTCAGCTTTGCTATTTGTCTTATACTCTCTCTTATAACTGTACTTTTAAATTCATGTGTCCTGTGGTATCATTGCATTCACATGGTATCTTCTTGCTAGCAGACATGCATGTCAAAAATTCCAGGTATTTCAGGTATTAATGCAGTTCTCTGATACAGAGGACTCATTGCACCCCTAGTGCCATGCTCTCCCTATGGACAGGGCACCCCTAATCAGGGAAGCAGACCCAGAAATGTACAAGCCAACCTGAGAAAGCATTTCATAAACATACTCCCATGAAAAAAGGAAACACTAAAGCAAAGCAGTGAGGAACACTCAGAATCTAACACATAGAATCTTAATTCTATCTGGAATTCAAATTCACCTTCATTAAAGCATTAGTCATCATTTGAATTAAATGTGTACGCTGGCTACTGAACAATTTCCAGTGACCCTGCACAAAAAAAAAAAAAGGGGAAAGCAATGGCAAATACACTTGACAAAGATGAAAGGCTTGAACTTACACATAATGTGGAGAGATATTCGGAAGATGTAATTACATTTCCACTTAAATCAAACTGATTAATTTGCCGGAATGCTATAATATTAACATCATCAATGTCACTGTTCCCAACCTGCAACATAAACAATGTCATGTTTTTACCAACAGAGGAACAGTTAACAGAGGACAGTTAGCACAACACAAATATTGATCATAATTTTAAACAAGAAGTGAATTTTATTCTATACTAACCACATGGAAACTTGAAGGCTTTCCAATTGCAAGTATCTTTACTCCATAGAGCACAGCTCACAATTACAGACTTGTGCACTATCAGCACAAGGCTGATGGCATTAAGTTAAACTACCAATGGAAGAAGTATCAAAAGCAGGCATTATTTTGGAAGAGGCTGAGTTATACACACAGGACTGCCTGATGTCTGAGCATTGGTCTCAGTATTTTGCATCTGTGCTGAGCAATGCATACTGCTATGCTAGGATGATTATGCAGTTGATTAATGAGGAATATGCTCATATCATAATATAATCTACTTCAAAAATATGTAACTTTATATTCTTTGAAATTGTTTAAAATACAAAACATTTGTGTTTCTAAATCTGAACTCCGACCAGAGTAAGGAAAGACATTTACTCAAATAATAACTACAGTAACAGACAGGTTCCAGTTAGGCCAGGTGCCCTATCAACAGTCTGGCACCACTGAGGCTGTACAATTTTCCTGCAGGTGTCTTTCAAATGCTCTCTCCTAGAGAAAATGGCAGGCTAGCCAGGATGCTATTAGTACAAGCTACTGCATACAGCTACTTGCAGTACATAACCTTCATCTGATTTTCTGGAATTTGGGTTGCACTCTCTTCCCCTTTCCAGCCAGCAAGCACTCTTAGCAAGACGAGACTAAGGACTTGAAAGGTTTCTGCCCTTCTGTTCTGCTGCAAAGGAGGGCACCCTTGTCAGGCACGTGTCTCAGCTCAGATAATGACCAATTCCCCACTGAAAAGTTCTGGACAACTAACGAAGGCTAATTAACCTTTGCTGGATGTCAAGAGATAAATGCGAGGCAACTAATCTGAATCTGTAAGGATGGAGGAATATTTAACAAGATTTCATCAGTGTTCAGTTCAAAGTTATTATTACATTTTATAAAGATTTGCTAGTCTGAATGACAATTTCATCTACATCAAGACTGCAGGATTTGGACCAAATAAAGCAAAACAAAATATATCTTATCTATCAATAACTAAATACGAAGATAGCATAATATGACAATTTATGACATCCTCAAGTCGCTATGCTTTGTTCCATATCATAAAGAAATGCTGAAAGGTGTTCTATACATTTATTCTCTCATTTCTTGATGTACCTCTTCACTTGTTTACTGTTTGGACTTTATTTTATTTCAATTTTAAGCTATGGTGGTGACACACACATATAGGGCCCGTATTGAGGGAGCTAACTTGCTGAAAGCCACTTGTCTAAACAGAACATAAACAGAACGCGTTCAACTACATTGCTGCTGACAGAACAGACATAATGCCTACACAGATGCATTTCATATTTAAGTGGTACTACAAAAAAAAGAAAAAATTACCTCAATTGCACGATGTTGTGGTAAAGCTCTTTCAATGTGATCATTGCCTTCAGCTTTGAGTTGGACATGATACACACAACCAGGCTAAAAGCAACATTCAGTGATAAATCCCAACACTGAATAATACATACTTCAATTTTAGAAGACAGTAAGAGATTCCATTTAAGATACACCACCCAAACAGATCTAACTCTATCCAGTTAAAGTCTTCCTTATCCCAAATAGCAAATTTAGTTCAATAACACCATTAGGGGTGTTTACTGCCAGCAAATACAAAAGGCCTATCACAGAACTTTCACTAGTTTATTACATTACAGTATTAAAAGAATTCATCTGCTGTGAAGGGTTTTAGCTAGAAAGAAAATACATTAAACAGGATTAAAACCTGATCAAATACTGCTTTCTACTTCAGCATAATTGCTTACTCCATACACAGCGGTCCCAGAAATTCACCTTCCACGTTTCCTGCAGAACAACTGAACTCACATACGTGCTGTACAATCATCATCATACAAACACCCTATATCCTGCTAAAAATATGTTGTCACAGTATTTTCACAAGAGAAACTAAATGCTTCCTCAAATCCTTTTACCTAAGAACACCTGAACACCTGTTAGACACAGCCAGTACATCAACCAGGGGCTCACGACATGTCACAGGAGCTGTTCAGTGTTTGTGGCAGGCCATGACAGTATGCTGGCAGCAAGTTCCGCAGACTTATACTAGAAGTATTTTCTCCCTTCACTGAATGAATGTTCACTACATGACAGTGTAACACTGAGACTCAAGGGAATCTGAGCTAGCAAATGTGATGGGAAAACAGAAGTCAGTAGCTAATTAATAAAACACATGTTATTCCATTATCATGCTAACGTAAAAGTAAATGACAGAGAATGTTCTAATCCTTACCAGGAGGCCACGTAGCCTGAATTTGCCCTCTTCATCAGTTATCGTGTCTTCTCCATAGATGCTACAATCCTTCTGCCCCACAGCTTCTACTGAGACTCCCTGCTCCGGCTCTCCATTTAAAGAAGAAACTGTGCCGTAACAGCTAGAAGTATAAAGAGAACCAATTGCTACAGATGTGCAGATGCTGTTTTAATGCACATTTTAAAGACGTTTTATTGTTACAACTGATGGAAAAAGTACTAAATATATTTAGCATAGCGTGGAGAAGAAAAGGGGAATATGTAATGTGTACGTAAAGCTGTTTAAAGCATTAGAATTAGCTGCAGTTCAGTGCACAACTTTAGGAATCCAAATTCTCTGATGTCCATGAACAGCAGCACTTACCCCTGAGAGCAAGGAAAGGAAGGATCTTGAAGTCAGATACCTGAATTGGCCTACCATCCCCAGAACAGTCCTCTCCTGTGCCACTGGACATAGCACAAGCCACTTCCAGTGCCACTGACACAGTGCTTTCATAGCAACATTTCTCCTTACAGTCCTGCCATCTAGGTGTAGCTATATATGCACATGCATAAGAAAAGGCTAAAAAAAGTACTTATACACAGAATAACAGAGTTAAATTGTGCCTTCAAAAGTATCCTCCAAACCTCCAGAACACACATTTTACATAATGTATCCTGATACAGTACGTAGCATTTTGCACAGCATTTCAGCTCTACTGACCTGTAAGCTGTCCTGTAACCAGTTATCCGAATTTTAAGATTCTGTCCTTCCTGCACTTCAATCATTTGTGACGATGGCTCAAAGCGAAACTCTTTCATCATGGGTTTAAAATAATACTGCCCTGGGCTCTGCAAAGAAGCATGAAACAAGCCGTTTACTGATAGTAACACAAAAATTCACCAACTCCCAACAATTATGTTTCTTCAAGAGCTCCCTAAAGAGCTTAAGTTCTCTGTCTCAACTGTAGGTTAAACTGGATGGAAAATGTGAGCACTCAAAAACAGGGAGCAATATTGGACAATAAACCAGTGGAACTCCACCAGGTGATAAAGCCTGAAGAGGGAAAGGAAACTATGTCCCTAAAACCTTACCGCAAGACCTCAAGGACAGCAAAGTGACCAGGAGAGAGAGATGTCTGCAAGGAAATTATTCAGGCATGTCTACACACATGTACAGATCAGTAATCTCATTAGATTTCTTTTCTCTAAAGACTCTCAAATGTTCATCAAAAAATTGGCTTGTTTCATGTTTACAGACTGCAAATTAGTAACTGAGATCAATCAACATCACCTACTACCTGTTGGGGAGAAATCTCTTGCTAGGTTAGATTTCACATCTTTCATGTGCTAAGATTGTAAGTGCTCTCCACTCTGAGGGACCTACATTTCTCATTGTTATGATTTCAAAGGAGACCACACATCCCCCTGCCACTGAAGGGAGCCAACATCATCCCTATTTTGGAGGGCAATGTAACAGCATCACACATGCAGACACATTCAGAAGAATCAATTTCAACTTACCAGATTGGAAAAAGTCAGCATGCCGTTATCCTGTGTAAGGAGGTTGGATCGAAACACCCCTCCACTGAGAGACAAGAGAACTCCGGCAAGAGCCTGGTCATCCTCTGATTTGATCTATTTTTGAAAAAGCAATAGTTTTAACTGTAAGCTAGGGTTGCTTTCCGAAAAAGAGTTCAATTCAGAAGCCCCTTACAGAGTGCAGAGATGTGCTGGCTGTGAGCACTCACCTGTAAGCAGAAGAAAACTAGCAACATCTGCAGTGTATGCCCTCCTGTGAGACTGCAGGGCTACAGAAGCTTGTGCTCTCAACATCTGGGCAGTCACAGCTGCACATAGCACGTGCCACCAGAACAGTCACTCTCTATCACTTGCTAGGACATGCTGGGGGCCAGAACAAAGTATCCTAAAGACTAGAACCAAGCACTAGTTGGACCAGACTGTACACAAAAAAAAAAAAATCCCCTTGAGGGATAAAACTCATTAAGAGAAGGTGGTCCAACTCTACAAAAGCAAATAAAGACAGTTTTTTGCACTGCAGGCTCTAACTTTCCACTCTATAAACCTTGCAAAACATCTTCTGCATGGCAAGTCATGGTCTACAATTAAGCTCATCCACTGAGATTTGTTTCCCCATGACAAAATTATCCCCAAATCCCACACCCATTTTTGTTTGGCTGGGACACCTGGGTTAACTTTTTTCCCTGTGTAGCTCTAACTGCACACACACTCATTCAGAACCCAAAGTGTTTAGAACATTACCTCAAACGTAACCCCAGCAAGAGCAAAAGCTTTGAAGTCCCCAACTGTTCCTTCTACTGCAGTCAAAACAAACCCTTCTTTCTGAGCAGTAACTGTATATTCCAAGTCACTGTGGAGTGGTCCAACACTTCAAATAAAAGGAGAGAACTAATTTTAAAAAAAAGCACTTGTGTATCACACACACATTGCCAAGTCACCATTGCACTTCAATTAAAGAATCCAAAAGGTCAAAACAAATCTGTTGATTACCTGTAAGCACCTTTGTCATCAGTGAAAACTGTGATGAGCGAGGAAGTTGCTCCCTTTTCACTAATGACAATCTCAACGCCTTCCAATTCAGGATGAATTCGCCCTTCCAGAAATAAACCTGCTTTTCCATGAATCTCTATCAGTTTTCCAGGACAACTCTCTTGGTCATTGCAAAGGGGATTTAAGACAAACAAGAAAGTCAAAATACATTCACCGTTCTGTCTTACAGCAAGAGTTTAACTACTTCCAAAGTGACCAGTTGATGTTCTCTTACCTTAGAATAAGAGATCAACCAATTCTATGGCCTCTCAACACATCTTAAAACATCTGAACATTCACAAAATCAGTAACAAAGTTCCAAAGCTATAAGCACATCTCCAAAACAAACATTCTGAATTGGCTAAGTGCTTTGAGGATTCATGAAGTTACATATACTGCAGCCACATGGAGATGATTCTAACAATATTCCGTTCTAGCTGATATTACACAGAGCTTTGACAAAAGTTTTTGAGATCAAATTCAGGTCAGCATATGTCATGTTTAACATAAAGTAAATATAAAGACATAAGTAAAATTTTATTCCCTCTCCCCTCCAATGTATTTAGAATGTCCACAACAAAAAGGCACATAAAAAGGTGTACCTAATATTTTCTAGTTATTTCAAATGAAGTATGTTCACTTAGGAACCTGAGGGCAAGATGGACACTGACTTAACAAGTAGCACCAACTGAATGATGATAACCCTGACAACTTTGAAGTTTACTGTTGTGAATATTTACATATTGCATATTATCACATACTACAAACAAAACTTAACAGAAACTTGAATTTGGCAAGAAATTCAGAATACAAACATCATTTTTTCACACAACTGTATTTCTAGATAAGAGTAATATGAACAATTCTGAGAGTCTGGTGTAATATCCAGAAATCTAGTCCTTCCTCTTGTGCCAGGTGGTCTTTTAGCACTTGGAAGCATGTTCTGCTGATAAAAACTGTACTTGCACCCTCAACCAAATACCCATGCTTCCAAATTCCAGAGTGAAATTGGCCCAAAGAAACAGCTGCTGTTGAAACTTTCCTAACACTATTCATACGTTCGTCTATAAGGAAACATTTCTGCCTTAAAAATCTACTCCTTTCAAGCTAGATTTTATTTATACTTACCTCCACTAACAACTGTTTCCACATAAGGCGGGTAGAAAAGCAGCTCTTTTGATGATGGTGTCACAGTAATTTTCTCTCCAGACCTATAAAACACAAGATACAATTAGAAGAAAATGGAATTAGCAGCTCTCACATAGAGCAGCGTACTGTCTATTGACCCAAGAACCCGTCTAAATACCCCAAGGAAAAAGTATCAACAATACCTAAGCAAAATTCATACTATGTGGTACTAGTTTCCATTTAGCTGACAGTCAACAAGAACAGGCACAGGTACCCATACAGCAGCTCTGTTCTACATGGAATATATCACTATTCTGTTTAGTGGAAACACCAGACAATAGTACAAAGAATACACCTGGTCAATTGGAGCTTGGTATTACCTTGCCCAGTATGAAAATTCATACAGGAACGGTCCTTGGAGTTCCTCCACCATTTCTTGCACTGGTGGCTTTGTTCCTTCCTCCTCTTGACCCTTCTTTTCTCTCTCCTGTCGGCGGGTCTCAATTTCTGCCAGCTGCTGCTCCCTACGTAACTCCTGTACAGACTTCAGGGGCCCTAAAACTAAGGCGGGTTCACTGTCAATGGATGACCTGAAAACAATGAAGAGAAAACAAAATCATCTCCTTTCACACGAAGGGATAACAGCTTGTTATATCTGTTAATTACTACCTTTATACCACAGCAGACAAGTTCCAGGATTTTTTTTAATCCATTCCTTTTAAATTCTGCTATTTATTCCAAGCATAACTAAAAATTTTAACCTCCACATCAATCACAGAATCACTAAGGTTGGAAAGGACCTTCAAGATCATCAATTCCAACCATTAATCCAGTGCCACCAGGTCCCCTAAACCATGTCCCAAAGTGCCACATCCACACGTTTTTGTAACACTTCCAGAGATGGAGACTCCACCACCTCCCTGGGCAGCCTGTTCCAATGCCTGACCACCCTCTCAGTGAAGAAATTTTTCCTAATATCCAACCTAAACCTCCCTTGGCACAACTTGAGGCCATTTCCTCTTGTCCTATCACTAGTTACTTGGGAGAAGAGGCCAACACCCACCTCACCACAACCCCCTTTCAGGTAGTTGTAGAGAGCGATAAAGTCTCCTCTTAGCCTCCTCTTCTCCAGACTAAACAACCCCAGTTCCCTCAGCCACTCCTCATAAGACTTGTGCTCCAGCCCCCTCACCAGCTTCGTTGCCCTTCTCTGGACACGCTCCAGCACCTCAACATCCTTCTTGTAGTGAGGGGCCCAAAACTGAACACAGCTACTATCAATCAGAAAAGCTCATTCATAGGCACTACAGGTAACTTACCTGGCCTAGCAGGAATTGGCCTACTTGCAACTCTCTCAAATACTGCCCCATCATGGGACAACCATTCAAGAAGCTATGGCTCTGCTGCCTCCTCCTCCCTTCTGCCATGCCTCAGCATCCCATTGCACAGGCCGCGTCACATGTCTACATCTCAACCACTTTGCAGAGTCCAGCATCTTAGCTTAGCTTAGGTTTTGGTAAGCACAGAGTCCTGATTTTGCACCAAGTACCAGACACCAGCTCTGCTTCAGGGGCAACCACCTCCCACAGGAGCACTGACAAGCCAGTAGGAGTGGTAAATTCTTAAGCCAAAGGACCAGTTTGTATGAGTACCTTTAACAAAGCCCTAAACTAAAAGAGAAAGACCGGAATTCCAAACCTGAGAACAAACTTAGTACAGAAAGGATTTGTTTATTTTGTATAACTCAAAGACCAGTAAGCTCACTTTTGTTTCAGTACTAGGAACTTTCCCTCAGAACCTACCTCTCAAGAGTAGAGTATACAAGGAGAAAATAAACTTCTACCACAAACAAATACTTCCAATAGCTGGCAATTTCCAGGTAAAGCTCTGAGTTCTAACCTATCTGCCCTACACATTTGAAATATTCAGCTATCTTGTCACTGTCCACTGAACAGATTGCTAGGTAAGTTTAAACAAGTCCTTTAAATCAGCTCAGACCAATTCATCACGTTTCACTTTCGTTGATCTTACATCCTCTCTTTCCTAGCAATTTCTTGTAGTATCCAACCATCCTTTGTATCTTATCTTCTGTCTCTTCTACAATAGTCTGAAAAACTGTTGCAGAACATTGAAAAATTCTCTATGAGGAGTGAACGGAAATGATCACGATTACTTTTCCTACAGCCACGTTAGATTATCAGTATAGTTGAGTCTCCTGCTTCAGTCTTCACCTACATTCTATTTTGTCTTTTTTAAGAAAAACAGATACTACTGCTCTATCAACCAAGTTTCATCAAGGCTTTGAATTCTTTCTCTGCAGTCCAAAGACACTATAAAAATGTATCAAAAAAATTCTTTTTGTCTTACTAAAAACCTGTACAGACATGCACACAGTCTCATGATATTAATAATAAATTACTACAGTCTCATTTTTCAAACATAAGAAGCCATCACCAAAAATTGTGAAGAAACAGCTTTCTTTTTGGTTGGGTTGGGGTGTTTTTTATTAACTGGAACTTAACAGGTCAGCACCACAGATCTGGTGGACATATACATATCCACCTATACAAGCATAGACTTTTAAAAACAGCTGTATTGCTTTTAAATCCAGAGCTGCTGTTTTTACGTTGATGGCATTTCACAAATTGGACTTTGGCTGAAAAGCTTCAGGCAGGCTTGAACAGAGACAGTCTGTGGCAATCGAGCTGCCTTCAAAGCACTTGCCAATAGTCTCAAAAAATCCAACCAGCCTAGAAGGTCAGTATAATATTCACTTCCTCACTAAGTTCTTTTTAAAATCCTAATGTCTCTCTGCTATCCCAATGTTTCTTTTCCAGCTGCTGTAGTTGCCCAGTACTTGCAGTTACAGGTTCATTAAGCTCAGGGAATTCGAGGCAATGCTCTGCAGGTAATTTGTTCTCTGAAAAGATGTTTTCTGCACTCAGAAAGTTTGAGAACCCATAGTCTAGAACAAGCAGACATCAGCAGAGCATTAATAAAGCACGCATCATTATCAGACACATCCAGGCAGATCTGGCACCTCATACAATTAAAGCTGTTCACAAATCAGTGCTCCCTAGTGATCTCTCTGTTCAGCTAAACGTAAATTGGCGCATCAGTGTGTAATCACTCTGCATAGTTTTCCTTTTATAACCCTCTTCACACCAGTAACAATGCTCTAAAGCAGATTCTCATTCTGAGGAAACAAAAAGGGGAAAAAATAGATGCCAGTGATAAAGAGCTCAGACCTAAGCTAAAACAATACCCTCTGAATTCTGAAATTTCAGTTCATTAAAGTATATAAAACCTCAGAAAATCACTCCTTTTCACCATGACACACAAGTAGAAAGGGACTAGATTGAAATTAAGTGACAATGTTCAAAATGAGGGATGGGAATTATTTATCCATCTACAAAGAACTCAAAGCACAGCTTAGCACAAAAACCTCTTGCAGCCTAGAGTTGGATGCCATCCCCTTAGAAAGCAGCCACTGCAGTATTAAACCCAGAGTAAAACTTTGAGAGAGATGTCTTTTCCTTCCCCTTTTTATAGGCCCAAAATTTCTTTGTTCTTACTTAATGGTAACAGTCACATCCATCAGTTTATCTGTTACAATCGTGCCAAGGACATGGTGTCGAACTGCAGTGAGTGTCAGTATACTAGGAGAAGACCTGTAAATCAAAGTAACAGAGAGATGAATTCAAGGTCCCCCTCCTAAAGAAAACAACCAAATCTTATTTAGCAGTTTGTGCTCCCGTCCCTAAGTTTGAAGTGTTTTACAAAAGACAGTATACAAGTTCCACAGCAAAGCTGTAGTGCTGAGATGACCGGATATTGGAAAGGGAGCGTTTTCCAGCTCTGAACCCCAAATCACTGCATGACATTGGTCAAAGCAATTCCTTCCTTTCTGCCTCCTGCTTCCTCTCAAGCTAAAGCTGATTTGATTGATTTCATATGTACGATCCCTTACACACAGCAGAAGGGCACTCAAAAGTTTGTCATATTAGACACAGTTCACCAAGACTCCCCCAGGTCTAATGGTGCTTTGCTGTCAAAAGATGGTTTCTGCTTCTATCCATTCACTCACTTTGTGCCAGCTCTCATGTTTAGTCCACCTCTCTTTGAAGTACTTTCAATTCACTAACACAGCAGAAAAAAATCAGATTCTAGTGTTGAATTCGTTTTCTGACATGTTAATGAATTAGAAGTAGTCTGGGAGCAGAAATCCTGTTTTTGGAAGCAAAGAGCCATTAAGCACATTGCCAGACCATAACCTATAAATCAACCAATAAAACATGGCTGCCTGACGAAGATCAGCACTGCTTACTTGTGATTAGGGTGAATATTTATTCAGCTTACAAAAACTGGGGTGAGCAGAATCAAATGACCACAAAGTCATGGCACTAGGGACGTACAACAGTGATATATGCCTCCTAGTAAACTTACTATCCTATCTTTTGCATTTCACCTCTCACAAAGGATCAACAGTTTCTACTGAAATAGCTCTGCTTTGTTACAAGGCAAAACCAAAATTAAACAGACACGAGGCTGACAAAAATATTCATTAAAGTAGCAAAACAATCTTTAAAGCCTATCATTAGTTGATTATTTTTTTTAAGACTAGAAAGGGCAAGAGAACATGTCCGATATGCTAAAGCCTCCCTCTATTGGTTAGAGACAGTCATAGCAACACCTCCTGAATTGCTGAAAGCAAGCAGCTGCAGAAGAAGGAAGCTTTATGAAAGCATACTGATAGGCATAGGATCAAAACCAGATTTTGCTCTTACGTGTCGTAAGTGTAATACTCATGTTCAAATTGGTGGCAGGAACGTGGGGTAACTTCATATACACCTGTAAACATGAAGTCAAAGAATGATCTGCTGAAAAAATTCAAGCTTACTGTGCTGGCTGAGTTCTCAAGATCACATGAGACCTGAGGTATAGAAACAATTACAAAATTTTACTATATCTCTATTGCCTTTCATATAGACACTTGTCAATTAGTTCACCTCTGTTCAGTCATAGATCACTATTGGAAGCTGTGTAGCGTTTCTAACATACACTAATACAAAACACAATTAGGCATCATTACAGATAAACATAATTACAAATGCAAACAACCAAACAACCTCAGAAGTAACCTATTATAGTCCCATAGGTGATATCCTTTGACTGATTATAGAACCACTGTAGTATTGTGTTGTGAATGACACCACTGGCTCTAAGGATGAAATGTTCAAAGCTGAAAAGTGAATCAAAACCAAACATATTGGTTAACTGTTTTGCTAAGGGGCCATAACAGAGAATTCGTTCTAAGGCATTAAAAGGAGGAAAAAAAAAAAATCTGGTTTTAAAACATTCTTTTTTGCTGTTACAGATAACCCTGTGGTACTTTTAACAGTTACCCCTCAAGAATCCTGTATTGAAATGAAACGTCTGTTTGTCCCATATGAACAAGATTATTTTAATATGCTCTTCATTCATCAAAGATCAAAGCCCTTCACAGAGTCAAAAAAACACAACTTATTTTACTTCTGGAATCTATATTAATGTGAAGGACTAAATAGTAGGAGAATTTTAAAAACTTAGAACAGAGCATTTATATACAGATGTAAATTAAACAATGCCTCTCAGAAACATCAGAAACCATAACAGTTTGGTTTTGTGGTTTTGTTTTTTTTTTTAAATTCCCAGCAGTATTAGCTGACTGGTTGTTTTTTTGTTTTTTAAACTAACATTTTAGAGCTGTTACCTGGCTTTGAAAGACAGAATCTATTAACTCCTTTGGACAGGTTATAAACACCAACGTTCTCTGGCCCATTTCCATCCTGATAAAATTCCTGTGAAGCCACAACACAATTCACTATTAGTACCTACCAAACAACAAAATGAAAATAGTATTTGCCTAAAGATACATCAACGCTTCTCTTTTACAACAGCTAACAACAGAAGATCGTTTTACCAAATCTTAAGAGACAAATCTCAAAGCACTCTCTGTTGCTGTGCTATATGACTCCCGGAAGACATGAAAAAGTCTTGATTCCAAACATAATCCAACCTACCTACACAAGTTCATTAAAAAAATACAAGGACGTTTGTTACCTACGTACCAGTGTAATTGCATGAGAAAGAGAACACCTCAGCATATATCCAGTCTGCCTGAATTCTACTCCCGAAACATCTTCCTCCATGACTTCCAACTCCAGAGACTTATTCTTCCAGCACCAGTCTTCATGTACAATGCTTACTAGAATACACACCACACAAAGCATTTTAGTAATGTACAACTGTGTGAATAAGGGCAGGTTTTGTGGTATAAAAAGCTTGTATCACTCTAACTTCCCTGACAATAACCTTCAAAGCCAGATACACAACAATGACTGTAGTAACAGACCTGGTTCACAGCACTGCAGCATCACCAGGAATCCAGCACATCTCTTAACAGAACAGCTATTATAAAAAGGAATAACAAAGTCTGGTCACCCTGGAAAGTTCTGCAATGTGCGCTACCACTGTGGTAGTGAAAGAAGCCTAGAGGTCATCACAACCTAACTCCAATTTCACCTGGTGGAAAGGTGTTCTAACTTCAGTATAAAAAGAGCAATCAGTATATACTCCTTACACCTTTCCCTGGAAAACAATTTATTTTCATAGCTGGCCAAAACACATATTGCTCTTAGGACAGGTACTCGGGAAGCAGAAGAACTAGGATGTGCCCCTGTTCTTAGGCTTGGGACAAGTCAGGTGATGATAAAGCCCTTTTTCCTCACTCCAGCTACACAGACCCTAAAACTTAGGGGAGCAGCTACCTGTCAGCTAGCAAACAGGTTAAACATAGAAGATTAAGAAAACTTGATGCAGTGTTATATAGTATTTTTCCAGATTCTCTCAAGTTTCAGAACTAACTCCATGTTGGGCATACTGTAAACGGTATCCACAATAACAGAAGTATACAGATTATGTCACAAATTTAGCTACTAAGGTAACACTTCAAGCAGTTCCCCATAATCCTACCTTTGTATTTGCCAGGTAGCACATTTTCAAATGTGAAGACCACTGAGTCCATGTTTCCAGAGAGCTGCAGGTTGCGTTTTTCACCCTGGCGGCTCACAGACTGTAATATCACCATGAGATCACCACAAGCATCTGTGCAGAAAAGAGAAGAGAAAATGAGACTACATTCTGGCTTCCCAGCTTTGCCTCCCAAACCCCCACTCCAAGCAAGCTTCATGTGTACTAAGATTAAAATGATTACTCTCTTCCAGTAGAGAACATTTAGACTATATATTAGGAAAAATTTTTTTTACTGAGAGAGTGGTCAAGCATTGGAACAGGCTGCCCAGGGAGGGGGTGGAGTCACCATCACCGCCAGTGTTCAAAAAACATGTAGACGTGGCACTTTGGGACATGGTTTAGTGGGCATGGTGGTGTTGGGTTGATGGTTGGACTTAATGATCTTAAAGGTCTTTTCCAACCTTCATGATTCTATGATTCTATGCGATTTCCAATTAAAACTCTCACTCTTATTTCTTAAGCACATGATTACCAGTCCTTTTTTTCATTCTTCAGGAAGTTTGAGACTGTTCATCATATTCCTTTATCTAATGGCAAGTAACAACCAGGGGTCAACATTAAATCCCTGGGTCCATCTTGCTCTGCAGAGACTACAGGGCCCAGAAAACACCTGGGAGACAGAACACCAAGTACAGAGGGGATTCAGAGACAACAAAGAAGAGGTAAAAATGACAAAAGTCAAGCCCCAATCACCATCTGCTGAAATCAGTGGGTAATCAAGGAAAACAGCAGGAGAGAGGTCCTTAGACTAAAATAAAGACAAAAAGCTTATGAAAGAGAACAGAGATTTCAAGCTTCCTAATAGTCTTAGCGTCTATGCTACAGGTTTTTACACACACTTTTTTTCCCCCCCTTGCCATGTCTTTTTTGCCTCCAGTACTTCTCTGATTGATGTACAGTATCCCTAGTGTCAGTCAGGAGCATCTCCTTCCAGAACTTACCCATCTTCTGAGGAAGGCAAACAGGTCAGAATTCCTTCCTGAGGAAGGAATACTTGCTTACTCCTACCAGGTATTAAAAATAGGTACATAACTTAACTCCAAACTTTATTAGGGTATCTTATTAAGCTGTAAGGTCTTACAAAAAAAGAGTCACTTTACCCATGTGCTGGAAATTAATTTACTTATCTGCTGATGAGACTAACCACAGCAAGTGTCTTGATCTAAACCGTACTCAGTCACACACACAGTGCTGAAGTTCTCCGTTCCCATTTCCACTTCACTTTCAAAATTCACTTACCTAAACAAGAGATCTTCCCCGAGATGGATGCCAAAAACTGAGAGAAGGTCACATCCATTACTGGTCGGTCTGTAACAGTAACAGGGAACATTTTGGGTTTCAAAGCCAATCCTGCTCTGGTCTCAGCCTCTGGAATAATTACCTGTAGAGTATATGACATCAAAACATCACCAGCTTTTAAATATCGGTCCAAATACATCCACTCTACTTAGTTCAATCCATTTATCAGTAATTAGAAAATGGAAATTTACTGTAAATCTCAGGCAAAGCAAATCCAGCCTCCCAAATATGCTTTTCAAAATTCTGTATTAAAAATCCTCCAAAGAACTGCAATAAAACTGAGCTAAAAATCCTCCAAACAGATCAGTTTCAAAAGTCTGTGCAAATTTCACTTCAGGATGTACTGCTGCTTCCACATTAGGCTATTTCATTATCTATAAGGACAATCAGAGGCCTTACAACCATGCACTTCCTCATCTTCAAGTCTGCATGACCTCCCACAATGCAAAATTCATGGTGGCTATGCTACAGGTTCTGCTGTGACCTATAATCTCAGGAACCATTTAGACACCTAAGAAAGGTACACATTACATGTCTCACTCACAGGATAATACATTAAAATAAGAAGTGATCTAAGGGACATCACAACTAAGAGGAGAGAGAAATGAGAACTTTCAACCTCAATGGCCTGATCTATTAACAAGTTTAAAGGACAAGGAACATGGGAATCT